ATAAAATAGACCTTAAAATAAAGACTGTTACAAGAGATAAGGAGGCACACTACCTAATGATCAAAGGATCAATCCAAGATGAAGATATAACAATTATAAATGTTTATGCACCCAACAGAGAAGCACCTCAATGCAAAGGCAAATGCTAACAACCATGAAAGGAGAAATTGACAGTAACACAATGATACCACGGGACTTCAACACCCCACTTACACCAGTGGACAGATCACCCAAACAGAAAATAAATAAGGAAACACAAGCTTTAAATGACACAATAGACCAGATGGATCTAACTGATATTTACAGAACATTCCACTCAAAAGTGGCAGAATACACTTTCTTCTCAAGTGCACATGGAATATTCTCCAGGATAGATCACATCTTGGGTCACAAATCAAGCCTCGGAAAATTTAAGAAAACTGAAATCGTGTCAAGCATCTTTTCTGACTACAATGTTATGACACTGGAAATCAATTATAGCAAAAAAAACTGTAAAAAACACAAATACATGGAGGCTAAACATTGTGCTACTAAATATCCAAGAGATCACTGAAGAAGAAATACTTAAATACATAGAAACAAATGACAATGAAAACACAACGACCCAAAACCTACGGTACGCAGCAAAAGCAGTTCTAAGAAGGAAGTTTATAGCAATTCAATCTCACCTCAAGATACAAGAAAAATCTCAAATAAACAATCTAACCCTACACTTAAAACAACTAGAGAAAGAAGAACAAAGAAAACCTGAAGTCAGTAGAAGGAAATAAATCATAAAGATCAGAGCAGAAATAAATGAAACAGAAACAAAGAAAACAATAGCAAAGATCAATAAAACTAAAAGCTGGTTCTTTGAGAAGATAAACAAAATTGATAAACCCTTGGCCAGACTCATCAAGAAAAAAAGGGAGAGGACGCAAATCAATAAAATTAGAAATGAAAAAGGAGAAATCACAACTGACAATGCAGAAATACAAAGGATTATAAGAGACTACAACAAACAACTATATGCCAATAAAATGGACAACCACGAAGAAATGGACAAATTCTTAGAAAGGTACAATTTTCGAAGACTGAACCAGGAAGAATTAGAAAATATAAACAGACCTATCACGAGTAATGAAACTGAAACCATAATTAAAAATCTTCCAACAGGGCTTCCCTGGTGGAGCAGTGGTTAAGAATCCGCCTGCCAATGCAGGGGACACGGGTTTGAACCCTGGTCCAGGAAGATCCCACATGCCGCAGAGCAACTAAGCCCGTGCACCACAACTACTGAGCCTGTGCTCTAGAGCCTGTGAGCCACAACTACTGAGGCTGCGTGCTGCAACTACTGAAGCCCGCATGCCTAGAGCCTGTACTCTGCAACAAGAAAAGCCACTGAAACGAGAAGCCTGAGCACCACAATGAAAAGTAGCCCCCACTCACCTCAACTAGAGAAAGCCCATGCACAGTAATGCAGCCAAAAAATAAATAAATTAATTAAAAAAAATAATCTTCCAACAAAGAAAAGTCCAGGACCAGATGGCTTCACAGGCAAATTCTATCAAACATTTAGAGAAGAGCTAATAACACCTGTCCTTCTCAAACTCTTCCAAAAAATTGCAGAGGGAGAAACACTTCCAAATTCATTCTATGAAGCCACCATCACCCTAATACCAAAACCAGAAAAAAGATATCACAAAAAAAGAAAATTATAGACCAATATCACTGATGAATATAGATGCAAAAATCCTGAACAAAATACTAGCAAACAGAATCCAACAGCACACTAAAAGGATCATACACCATGATCAAGTGGGATTTATCCCAAGGATGCAAGGATTCTTCAATATACGCAAATCATGCAATGTGATACACCACATTAACAAATTAAGGAATAAAAACCATATGATCATCTCAATAGATGCAGAAAAAGCTTTAGACAAAATTCAACACCCACTTATGATAAAAACTCTCCAGAAAACGGGCATAGAGGGAAACTACAACATAATAAAGGCCATATGACAAACCCACAGCAAGCATCATACTCAATGGTGAAAAACTGAAAGCATTCCCACTAGGATCAAGACAAGGATGTCCACTCTCTTTACTCTTATTCAGCATAGTTTTGGAAGTCCTAGCCACAGCAATCAGAGAAGAAAAAGAAATAAAAGGAATACAAATTGGAAAAGAAGAAGTAAAACTGTCACTATTTGCTGATGACATGATAGTATACATAGAAAATCCTAAAGATGCCACCAGAAAACTACTAGAACTAATCAGTGAATTTGGTAAGGTTGCAGGATACAAAATTAATGCACACAAGTCTCTGGCATTCTTATACACCAACAATAAAAAATCAGAAAGAGAAAGTAATGAAACACTGCTATTTACCATTGCGCAAAAAGAATAAAATACTTAGGAATAAACCTGCCTAACGAGGCGAAAGACCTGTACTCAGAAAATTATAAAACACTGATGAAGGAAATCAAAGATGACATAAACAGATGGAGAAATATACCATGTTCTTGGATTGGAAGAATCACTATTGTGAAAATGACTATAGTATTCAAAGCCATCTACAGATTAAATGCAACCCCTATCAAACTACCAATGGTATTCTTCACAGAATTAGAACAAAAAATCTTACAATTTGTATGGAAACACAAAAGACCCCGAAGAGCCAAAGCAATCCTGAAAAAGAAAAACGGAGTTGGAGGAATCAGGCTCCCCGACTTCAAACTATACCACAAAGTTACAGTAATCAACACAGTATGGTACTGGCACAAAAACAGAAATTTACATAAATAGTACAGGATAGAATGCCCAGAGATAAACCCACACACGTATGGGCACCTAATTTACGACAAAGGAGGCAAGAACATACAATGGAGAAAAGACAGCCTCTCAGTAAGTGGTGCTGGGAAAACTGGACAGCTACATGTAAAAGAATGAAATTAGAACACTCCCTAACACCATACACAAAAATAAACTCCAAATGGATTAAAGACTTAAATGTAAGGCCAGACACTATAAAACTTTTAGAGGAAAACATAGGAAAAACACTGACATAAACCACAGCAAGATCTTTTTTGACTCACCTCCTAGAGTAAAAGAAATAAAAACAAAAATAAACAAATGGGACTTAATTAAACTTAAAAGCTAAAAGCTTTTGCACAGCAAAGGAAACCAACAAGAAGACAAAAGGCAACCCTCAGAATGGGAGAACATATTTGCAAATGAATCAAGAGACAAAGGATTAATCTCCAAAATATACAAACAACTCATGGAGCTCAATATCAAAAAAAATAAACAGTCCAGTTAAGAAATGGGCGGAAGACCTAAACAGACATTTCACCAAGGAAGACACACAGATGGCCAAGAGGCACATAAAAAGATGCTCAACATCACTAATTATTAGAGAAATGCAAAACAAAACTACAATGAGATATCACCTCACACTGGTCAGAATGGCCATTATCAAAAAAGCTAGAAACAATAAATGCTGGAAAGAGGGTGGTGAAAAGGGAACCCTCCTACCCTGCTGGTGAGAATGTAAATTGATACAACCACTATGGAAAACAGTATGGAGGTTCCTTAAAAAACTAAAAATAGAACTACCATATGACCCAGCAATCCCACTACTGGGCATATACCCTGTGAAAACCATAATTCAAAAAGAGACATGCACCACAATGTTCATTGCAGCATTATTTACAATAGCCAGGACATGGAACCAACCTAAATGTCCATCGATAGATGAATGGATAAAGAAGATGTGGCACATATATACAATGGAATATTACTCAGCCATAAAAAGAAACAAAATTGAGTTATGTGTAGTGAGGTGGATGGACACAGAGTCTGTCATACAGAGTGAAGTAAGTCAGAAAGAGATAAACAAATACCATATGCTAACACATATATATGGGCTCTAAAAAAAAATGGTACTGATGAACCTAGTTGCAGGGCAGGAATAAAGAGGCAGACATAGAGTATGGACTTGATGACATGGGGTGGGAGGGTGAAGCTGGGGTGAAGTGAGAGTAGCATTGACACATATACACTACCAAATGTAAAATAGTTGGCTGGTGCGAAGCAGCAGCATAGCATAGGGAGATCAGCTCGGTGCTTTGCGATGACCTAGAGGGGTGGGATAGGGAGGTTGGGAGGGAGGCTCAAGAGGGAGGGGACATGGGGACATGTGTATGCATATGGCTGATTCGCTTTGTTGTGTAATAGAAACCAACTCGGTATTGTGAAGCACTTATACTCCAATAAATATCTATTAAAAAAAAAGTTGAAAATATCTAGTAAAGCTGAAGATGAGCAAACCCCATGATCCAGCTTTTCTATTTCTAGGTATATTCCCTAGAGTAGCATTTTTCAATTTGATGGTCTCAATCCTTCAGGGGGTACAAAATCAACAATCTTTAAAGTAGAATAAAAAATATCAGAAAATACACATACACATAAGCTATACACATACACATCAGTTACTTACTGAAACTGTGTTAAGGTATGTATGTATGTACATATGTACTGAATTGCTATAGAAAATGTAATTGGCAATATGGAGTTTTAAAGAAGCTGCCCTAGAGAAATGTTCCTACAAGTACACATGGATGTTCACTTTTGAACAGTTTACAATAGCAAACAACTTGGAAAAGAAATCTGAATTGTGTTCACTAAAAGAATGGATAAATGGATATTCACACTACAGAAAAACGTGAGCTATCAAAATGAATGAACAAGATTCAACATATCAGCATGGATAAAGTTTTAAAAAATGATACCAAGAGTAAAAGAAAAAAGTTGAAGAAGGATACATATGGTTTACTGCTGTTTCTATAAAGTGAAAAAAACTCGTAAAAACTATGTATTATTTATGCAGACTTATGCCATGTAATAGTAGAAATGATACATATAAGGTTCTCATACTTAATGAGAGGGAAGAGTAAAAAGGGAGCTCCAACTGTATTTAGAACATTTTGTTTTCTAAAATCTCTAAGACCAACCTGTGGCAATGATTTATCTCCATTAGCATGCATCTTTAATTTCATCAATGCTACCTTTGCAGCTGTTTCACTATTTTTTGCACCTTTCCGTCGTTTACTTGCTGTCTCTCCTGTCTTGGAATCTAAGAAATAAGTGTAAGCATATAAGCAAATAAGAACTTTTACATTTTCCAGAGTTTTATTTTTATTATTATTTATTAACTATGGCCCTGAAATGTACATGAATTACATATTATAGAGATATATAGAGACCACATTCATTTTATAGGTATGATCAATGGAAAAATACCACTGAGTTGACCTAAGTGATTTCCACATCAAAAACAAGTTATGTGCCTCTTTTCAGCTTAAATCTATTTAACCCAGAGCAATCACTAACACTTCTACAGAGAATTTTAAGATTTGGTTATAGAAGATTTTAATTTGATTAATTTAATTTAAAGTAATACCCTTAATATAAAATGAAAATTCAGCTGAACTAACATGGTAGCAGACAGACTGGTCTAAATCACAGATACATTCTTTCCTCATATGTTAGAATATCAGCAGCATTCATAGGACAGCTGACTGGGCTTAAACTTTAGTCTTTAAAGAATGTAAACCACTACTTTAGCCTCATGAATACAATTTTTAGCCAAGATGGTTAACCAGCTGATATAAATGGTCCAGCAAAAGAGAACATCTGGTAGGGTATTTCCATAGAATTTCCAAATTTTCATTGGAAAGCCTTGTGAGAAATACTGTCACAAGAATGTCATCAAAATCTATAGCAAGTTATAACCATCAGGGTTGCTAACAACACCTTCCATAACTGGCAAGCTGACACGAGAAGCAGGGCTCTGGAACTCATATAGTGTATAGAGCAGTAGGGAAACAACAAAACAAGCTTTCTAGATACTTGCCAATAATGTCTTTAACAAGTTTCTGAGTGGCAGCCATACGAGACTTAGGGATTTCCAGTTCTTCACATTCATGATCTGACTGATGACGATGTCTATGAGCAACAGAAGAGTGACACTAGTTCATGTATTTGCATATGACTTAAACAGATATACAGAGTTTGAATGGTCTCAGTCATCACCTCAGGCAAAAATTCTTCTCACAATAAGGACACATAATTGGCACAAGCGCTCTTTCAGCACAGTCCTTGAATGAGCATGGGTGAGATGTATGTGTATCTGACTTCAGTCTCTCAATTACAGTAACCTGAAAATGTAAAATGGGGGACATGACATTATATTTCACATCTAAAGCAAATCAACAAATTTATTCTGGATATCCATATCATTTTTGCTTAAACTTATAAGAGAAACTCACACATTCTCACATAGATTATAAAAATTGTTCGTGTGAGACATGATTACTGTGCTGACTGCTCTACATTTTCAAAGTTTTCCTACTGTGGTGTATTTATCTTCTAAGTCAAGTTAAAATGACTACTCAGTTACTCTCCATAATTTTAGTCTTCTACTTTGTAACATACTACACAAAGATGCCTCCATAATAATATGCTTAGATAATCAGCTCATCCATCACTCCTCAAATGGCAAGTCATATCTACTTTCTATACTGGTTTTAGAGGCTTAAATACATGTAAAAGAACACCTAAAATTATATGCTTTTCCATGATACAGAGGGTTAAAGACAGTTTTCACAATGATATACTATTCTTTTTTTTTTATATTTATTTATTTATTTTTGTCTGCATTGGGTCTTCATTGCTGAGCACGGGCTTCCTCTAGCTGCGGCAAGCGGGGGCTACTCTTTGTTGCAGTGCACAGGTTCTCATCGCAGTGGCTTCTCTTGTTGCGGAGCATGGGGTCTAGGCGCGTGGGCTTCAGTAGTTGTGGCACGCAGGCTCAATAGTTGTGGCCTGTGGGCTCTAGAGCACAGGTCCAGTAGTTGTGGTGCATGGGCTTAGTTGCTCCACAGCATGTGGGAATCTTCCTGGACCAGGGCTCGAACCCATGTCCCCTGCATTGGCAGGTGGATTCTTAACCACTGTGCCACCAGGGAAGTCCCACACAATGATATACTTTATTTTGTATTTAATACTGTATTACTAGCAAATATTATATCAGAGGAAAATGAGCTTTTATGAGATAAAAAAATAAAAATCCAGATCACTCAGGCTATTTTGAGCACTAAGTAACTAGGTTTCTAGAACTGAATGAACTCAGTAGACCCTTGCACAACTCAGCGCTGAGGTACAAACCCTCCCCGCAGTTGAAAATCTGAGTATAACTTTACAGTCAGCTCTCCGTATCTGCAGTTCTGCACCTGTAGATCCAATGCATTGTATAGTACATACCTAGTGAAAAAAATCCACGTATAACGGGACCCACACAGTTCAAACCTATGTTGTTCAAGGGTCAACTGTAATTGCTTGAAATCTATAACCAAAGGGCATTCCTCTATATAAATGATAGTTACATCTTGTTGGAATTAACTTCTTAACTATTTTTTCAAATTTATTCCAATGGTCTAAAGGTAGAAGATTTTTATTTCACCTTTAAATTAATAAGATCTAATTGAGAGACATTCTATGAGACATTCATAGAAATCAAATCATATAAGAAAAAGGAAAACACAGGGAAGATTTACAAGCTGTATAACAAACATCAATATGTTTACTGTATGACTCTATATGAGTATTTCCTTCCAAGTAATCCTGAATAATACCGATACTTAATTTTTATTTCCTCAAATAAATCACCAAAACTTCAAAGGGCCAGATTTTGACTGAAGCTCATTTAACCTTAATTTTCTATAATCAAGAGACTCGGTAAAGTGCTTGGTAAATGGTGGGCAGGAATAAATATCAACTGCAAAATGTGAGGTAAATGCTTCTTTCCAAATGGAGTAAATTCAGTTTAACTTTCTGCTTATCTCTGATCCAAGGGAGGTGGAACAAATTCTCTGATTACAAGTTTGAGAAAATTACATTAGGCTCAGATTTCTCTTTTTTTCCTTGGAAGCCTAACCTGGTGCAGCATTGCTGTGACTGGTGGGCAAATCCACCTAATTCTGGATTTCCTGAGGACCCTTTTGGCTCTACACTAAGCTATATCATTCAACTTATTCTTTATCAGTAATAAAGATGATATTTTGGCTTCTATTTAACAGCCCTTTTTAATCTCTTGATTTGGTCCGAATTAGGGTAGGGAGATTTTGCTGGACTACAGGTTTGCTCCTGGTGACCTAAGGCTGATGGAGTCAGAACGATGTATCACCACAGAGTCCTAACATCAGGCACCAGTGAAAATGAACGAAACAGTGAAGCAAACTGGAGGGAGTATATGATGAGGATGTTAATTCCATTATGTATTTATAAATATAGAGCCTAAAGCTATAAGCAGGCTACATAAACAGAACTGAAGTACAAAGGAATAAGAATTATAAGAACAAAAATTTATAAACACCAAGTAGACTAGTTTATGTTAAAACATACTGAGAAAAAGAATATAAATAAAGTAAGACCCTCTTAGATAATCAGTTTAGTCTGCCAAATTTTAATCTGTGGTACACTGGGATTAAATTGAATCAAATTCTGAATGAAAGTACATAAATACAAACATGTTTTACCGGGAGATATTAACATACCTCAGGACAGCTATGTGACTCCCTGCTCCTGTGTTCAAGGCTTAAATAACAACAACAAAAAGTGTTTATTTAAATGTAATCAAATAATGTACTTAAAGATAACTGCAGTAATTTGAGATATTTTAATGGTTAGTATCCTTAAGATTAACTACACTCACGCTACATTAACAACTTTGCCTATAAGAATAAACTGAAATGACAGATAAATAAAAGACAGAGTATCTTAGTCTCAAAAGTTTTAAAACCCAACTACTATTTAACTTCAATGAGTACAAAAATTCACCACTCTTAATTACCTTTACTTTGAGTGCTTTAAGGTGTGTGAAAATGCAGACCCTTTTGATTCTTTTATTTCTCAAAAATAATCAGTAATAAAATGTCAAAGGAGTGTTCTAGTTCTGAATGACTTAAAAATATGCATTATTTTTATTTACTTCTAATAAATCTTTCTGAATCATCTTCTGAAAAGAATTTATTCTTTCAGTGCTCTATTTAATAAATTAAATACCTGATACTTGAAAGTTTAATTGAAAAGAACATGCATTTTCCAAAATTCTTGTTTGTTCCCAGGTTTTACTTTACATGTGATGTGTGTGCAAAGGACGTATAGTACTCAATTTAAGAAATATAAAGGTTGGGCTCTTTTCATTTTATTAATTAAAATAAAGACTAATAATCATAACTGGATTTTTTTTTTACCATATCCTTTATATTGTGGATATGTTCTCTCCTTGTGATTAAAAGACATATATGACTTTTACATAAAAATCACACACATCACCCCATTTCTGGAAAGTTTAAAGACTAGCCACATATATGTACAAGTAATCAGAGTCTATGACTAGTCTATTTGATTTTTTTTTCCCCAAGTGATTACTATAATGAATATCAGATATCAGTGGCTAAAGTAAAAACTATTTTAAATCATTCTACTTTTTAGAAATAAATCTCATATTATAAACACTAAAATTACTCCCAAATAAAGCATAAAAACTTAACTTACCAAAATATTCCAGAACAACCATCACATACAAATGGAAGAAAATCTAAAATTGAGGGGAAATGTTATATGTTCTGGTCAGTAACTGATTTTGATTTAGTTTTCTTAAGTAAAAAGAGTCTTAAAGTACTGAACTATGGCTATAGGAGAACTTTCCTTTTTGAACAATATCCTAGTGCAGCAAGCAGTGGTTAAACAAAAGCCATTACAACCTCAAGCACTTTGAAAGTAACTGGATTATCAGAACGTAAATGTTACTTGCTGTAGCATGCTAAACCAGAAAAAAAAAAAAAAAAAAAAAAGAAGTCCTGTGAGTTTTCTGTTTGTTTCCCAGATTTACTAGGTGTTGTTTCTGAGGACTGTATAATGCAAAAATCCTGCATTTGAAGTGACAATCCTAGGTTTCAATTTTGATTCCACTGCTTACTAATCTAGCAATGCTAGGCAAGTTACTTAACAGTAGAGCTTTGGATTATATACATACATATTGTATATATATATATTTGATATATAGTATACAGTGTATGTATGTGTATGTATATAAAACCAAAGCTCTATTATTAGGTAATATGCATAAAATAGACATAGATATAAGTATATTGTGTTTGTGTGCATACATATATATGTGTGTATGCATCTATGCTATATGCCACACCTACTACACAGGGTAATTGTAAAAACCAAATGAGATACATGTAAAAGATAAGAATAGTAAGGCAATACCTGTAATTAACAAGAATAATTATAGCAATACACTTGTTCTGAATACACTCAACTCAGAAAAATCCTGTGGTGACTAGGTAGAGATGTGTTCAAAGAAATTCCAGAAATTCAATGGATGGATTGATTGATACTGCAAACTTTAGTCCTGAATTGTTTCTTTCCTTGCTGTTGAGGAACAACTAAGTTAGGACTAAGTAACAAGTAAGTTAGGAAATGAATTTTTGGAAAGCACATGAAAGCATCCATTCTTAGACGTGACAATTCACCATAAATCACTGAATACAATCATTTCTTCTCTAAATTGTTTTCAGTGTACCTCATATTAAACTACAATATACAGCCAAGTGAGGCTGGCTATATCTAATCACACCACTTTCACAAAATGAAAACAAAAAGCACTGCACTTTAGAGAAGGTTACTATTGCTCCCAAAATATCTCATCCTACAGAGTATCTTAACCCAAAAGAAAAAGAAGAGGTCCTATTATAACCCAAAGGGACCGCTGGATGTTTCTGCTTGTGGGACAAGAGGGCCCAAATATAGTTCTTCCTTCACCTGAAAAGCAAACTTAATGCATTGTCACTGTTGTCCTGAAAGCATGATACTGTAAGTATCTGTTTCATACCAAGAAAGTAGGTATACATTTGTCAAAAAGAGAAGGAAACTGAAGCATATAATACTTTACAAAACTTTTACGTCCTTTTCAAATCGGAAAAATGTACATTCTCACTATTTTGAGACTTTGGTGACCAACTAAACATTAGATGCAAACCAAGAGAATCCAGGGGTAAGAGTTAAGATCAAGATAATTTCCTAACACTTGACACCATCCTTCTATTCATCCAGAAGCTAAATGAAATTTAGGATACTCACTTAACGTATTCTAAATCTTAACTGCTCTCCACTAGTCCAAAAGAGCTAGACCCTGGCCTCATTTCAGGTATTTACACTTTAAGAGACACCTGAAGTTGGAAAGGAAGATGAACTATGTCACAAATGGTAGATATTATGGACTTGCTAGAGGTAATCAGGTATACCAGAATTATATAACTTACAGTCAAAACCCAACTGGCTAAGCTTCCCTATGAAAGATCTGCAAGGAAACATTGGCTCTTGCCTGCTGAATGGCTGAAGATGACAGCCAGTGGTGAAAGATACAAATCAGAGTGCTGAAAGTAACAATAACCTAGCAGGGATTGTGTCCTTTTGCCCACCACACACAACAGATATTATCAACTGTAGCACTCCCACTAATTCTGGGCTAAACCCCAGAGTCCTTCTCAACAGTGACCGGGTGGCTACCTGCTGCCAATGACTGTAGCTGCAATGGGAGATAAAACCTACTTTGTCACCCAATGTAGTATGAGCCAGATGTGGTAGCATCCATTTGGAGTGAAAGCCAGGTACCAAAGACTGAGCATTCTCTGTGTCTCTAGTGCTTCAGGACATACCTGCTGCAGATGTTTCTAAGGCCTGTACCACACTACCACTGGCTATTAGATTGGGCTATGTGTATCCCAAGGTCTCTCAGTTCAGCGGAGAGAGAACATCACCTTACTAATGCTCTAAAAAACAGCTAACTATCCTGAAAGCTTTTCTGTGGAAAGGGCTATATTTTATACCCTTATGTGGTCCCAGCACCAAAAGAGGTGCTCAGTAAATGTTTACTAATCAGTGATAATCAGAATCAAAGAGTGACAGAGTTGAGAGCGTAATGATCATCCGGAGGAAATGCTAAGGGCTCGTCTCCTGAGCAGCCCGCGAAAATGAGGTTAAAAACTGATCTCACCCAACTCCTTGCTCTGACAGATAAGCAAACAAAAAGTTTGGGAGAGAAGTGGCTTGCCCGAGGTCGCAGTGGCAGGTTCAGAAGGGAACTCTCCCGATTCCCAGACCGAAGCGTCCTCCCTACCCTTGCTCACCAGAAAGGAGTGGGCGCGAAGCGACTACTTGCCAAGGCGCACTTGAAAATCAAAGTTCACACTGTAAGGTATGTTTTTGGGAATCGCATGGCTCCCTTCCAAGGAGACCATAAGCCTCTTCCAAAGGCTCAAGGGCAACAAAAAACATGGGCATCGAGGGCATCAACACATGTCACGGCAGACCCCCCACAAGGGACACGCCCGCCCTGCCTCCTCAGACTCCGCCTCGCCCCACGGCCTTCCCTCCCGCGACCAGAGGTAAGGGCTCCTGAATCACCTCGCTGCCGGCACTGCTCCACCCGGCAGTGCTGCCCGATGTCCAACTCCGCCATCTCCCAGCGCCGCGAGAGGCGGGCACAGCCGCGGCAGGGAGGGACGGGGTCGCTCGCGCGGTGCCTGCTGGGAATGGGGTGGGCCCAGGGGCGGAGCCTGCAGGTGGGGGCGGGGCGCGTACTGAAAGCGAGAGGGCTGATCCTAGTGCCCTGAGTTCTGAATGTTTGCTATCTGGGTCGCCTAGTGAGGCGGCAGGAGGAAAAGGTGGTTTCTCTGTTCGGTTTTCCCTCGGGCGGAAGTCCTGTCGCCCAGTCCTTAGGAAAATATCCAACTGCCTTTATGGAAGATTGCGTGCGTGCGTGCGTTCCCTCCTCCGTGCTGCAATCGGAGTCCCGGACGGCCTCACAAGGATTTTTTTTTTTTTTTTTTGAATTAACATAATTCCGCAACTCTAGGAAGCACAGTTTGGCACAAGTATTTGCAGGAATCAAGTGAAGTAGACCGGCCCTGGTTCAATTCCTCACTCGTCCTACACCAGTGTTACTTGATTATATAAATGCTCCTTGCAAAGGAGTCAGGGTTTTTAAAAAGTAGACGTTTCTTTTTCTGCCCTGCCCTTACTTTCCTCATTCTAGCAGGAAAAAAAAAAGTCTCTAGCTCTTGAAGTCCTGAGTGTGCACTGAGCCGCATAGGGTCCCTCAGTTGAGAGCACAGACTCATTTAACACACGTCCTGCAGAAAGCTTGTGGTGATTCCATTGGGATGTAGGGAGGTAGGGAGCTTCGTGTGCTTGACGATCCACTCCAAAGATACTAAGAAAGGAGAGACTCTTCTAGGTGGGGTGCAAATGGATGCCATTCCACTGATGTGACACTAGACCAGACTCAGAGTGGATGAGTGACAACCAAAGCTGCACTGAGAGGAATTGTAAAAATATCCAGTGCCTCCTATATAAATTTAAATATTTCCCAATCAATATTCATTGAGGAAGAGGGAAGGGTGGGGTTGGGAAATAGGTATCCTCACTTCAAGATTGGCTCTTGAATAAATCTATTTAAAATTTTCATCTCAGACTTTGCTTGGGTCTCTGGAGAAACTTTAGATTTTAGAACTGGAAGTAACAGAAGAAATCTAGCTATCCCAGCCTTTTTTTTTTTTTGAAGATGAGAAGACAGGTTCATAGAAGTTAAATAATTTGCCCAAATTAGTGGAAGAGCCAGGACTAAAATCCAAGTATCAAAGACTTCTGGTGTCCTTGAATTTAAGAATCAGTGGCTTATCTAGATTTTGTATGTTTCTTTTAGCTGATTGGATCAACCAATGGCAGGTTTTCTAGAGTTTTACTGTTAAAATGTTCTAGATAGGTGGCAAATATTTATTTATCAGTCCAGTCTTAATGGAAATGTTTTTCCAGTTCACTAGCTTGGGAGTATAGGAAGCATTAAATGATTCAGATAGCCAAGATCACAGTTGCTAACTCTTCCATCTCAGTTTAGTCTCCTCTGCTGATTTCTCCTCTAGGTGCTACTTAAACATGCCTGTTTCCCTGTAATTTTGTGCTTGGTCTATTTATCAATTTGCATCCTCATTCAAGTGAAATTCCCATCGTCCCAATGATCCCATAACCATATTCTCTGCCCTGAGAACTTGCTTCCAAACTGGAGGTTTCTAGTTCCATATTTCTAATTCTAAACTGGAATGCTTTCTTACCATATCATCCCCTCTCTAACAAGAGAAGTCTGCCACATTAGAAACCTTGGATTCATTTTCCACCTCTCCTTTCTTACTTCTGTCATGGAAGTAGCCATTAAACGCTCTCAATTATGTCTCAAAACTGTCTCTCAAACCTGTACTCTTCAATTTCTAGAGTAATTTCCTCCCAAAAAACTAACTTCCTTGCCCTAAGATCTTCCATTGGGTCTCCATTATTCACAAGATTTTTTAGCTTAGTTGGGACAAACTTAACTGGTAAAGCTCTTCAGAGTTTCCAGCCTCAGCAATAACTGCTTCCACTCAGCTCCCTATTTCCCAATCGTTTCCATAAAATACCTCTGGCTTTTTCAGATGTTCATACTTTGGCACATGCCTTTCCTTTTCCTTTGAATGTTTTCTATACCAGAGTTTTCCAGACTTTCTTGAGAATAACAATCAGGTAAAGTGCTCGTTAATAAATACAGCTACTTACATCTTCCCTGGGTCTGACTTACAGGGTCTGGGATGGATCCTGGGAAGCTATGTTTTTAACAAGTGCCCTCACATTCATTCTTATCATTGGATCAGTTTAGCAAACAGGTTTCACTCTTATTTCACCTTCAGAGTGTAATTCTGTTAACCTTTCACCTGGGAAAGCCTTCAGAATGCACAGACAAAATTCAGTCCTCCAGGACATCAGCCACCTGCTAAAGTAGCACCTGCTACGTACTCTTCTTACTAGCACTAACCAGGCAAGGTTATAATTTACCTGACCAAAAATATCTTCAGTGGCTTCTATTAGCTACAAAATAAATTCTGCACTCAAGTCAGTCTAGCAAGTCTTTTGAGCATCTATTATATATCAGATATTATTCTAGGTTTGATACAGAATCGACTAAGACCCAACCTCAAGGAGCTCACATGGTCTAGGAAGGAATGATTCTGCTTGGCATTTAAAGTCTTTCAAATCTTGCCTCAACCCAACTTTCTCTCACTCTTTATCTTTCAAAGGCCTCTTCATAATGGGTGCTCCTCGGAGCCTCCATCGCTTCACAACTGCTGTTCTTTCTACTTGGCATGCTCTTCCCTTTCCCATTTGATCTGGTTAATTTCTGCTTTATTTTTTTAGCTGTCACCTCAAGTATCTTTTCCTCAGGAAATTCTTTGTTCTTCCTGACTAGGACAAATCCTGCTATTATGACATTCACTTTATATCTCCTTCAAGGCATTTGTCCCAGACTCGATTTTCTACTTATTTGTATGATTATTTGATTAATGTTTGTCTCTCCCTCTAAACTGTAAGCTCTACGAGAACAGGGGCCTGGGTTGTGGTTATATAGATATTCACTGTATAACTCTTTGTTAATCTGTCTCTATATGTTTATGTACCTTTCTGTAGATTTGTTATAACCCTGAATGTCAATTTATCTTGTATACCATATTCAAAATCAAATCTTGAATATTCTAAATTCAAACTTAACAATAACAGCTAAAATTTCTTGATTATTTTATTATGTACCAGGCACTTAAATGAATCATTTAATCTTCACAACACTTTAAGATATATGCCATTATTATCCCCATTTCATTGAATAGCTTATAAAAAAATTACTCACCTCCTGCCTCCCTGTCTGATCCCTTCCTCCTTCTTCAAGGCCAGCAATGTGTCCTCCTCAAATATCTCTCTTTTCCTGTCCTCCACTTCTCCCTTCTCTTACCCTGACCCTTATGCCCTTCCTCTGTTAAGGACACTTGTGATTACATTGGACCCTCCTGGATATTTCAGGATACTCTCCCCATCTCAAGATCCTTAACTACTAACACTTGCAAAGTCCCTTTGGCCATATAAGGTGACATAGTTACAGGTTTCAGGGTTTAGGATGTGGACAACTTTGAGGGGGGAATTATTCTACCTACCCCAATATACATTCTTATATTTCCTAGAATTGTTCAGTGCTTGACACATGGTAAGACCTCAAAAAATATCTGTCCACTGAATCAACGAATGAACAAGTCTACATTGACATTCAGCTGCGCCAGAAGCTTTATAATCTTAATCAGTATTAATAAAAATAGAACTTCAGAACAAGGAACATGAACGTGGTAGCTTTTTTCACTCTGCTTGACTGGTCAAAAACACCTGGGATACTGTGCTTGGTTCTGAGTACCACACTTCAAGTGTGAAAGAGGCAACCTAGGGCACATTTAAAGGAAGGCAACAGACTGTGAAGAACAAAAAACAGTGTTATGTGAAACTCAGAGCCTTTATAATGTTTAGGGCTTAATCAGTAGAGTTGAGGAAGGGTGTGAACAAAGAAAAACCCGTCACCAAAACTACCATCACCACTATCATTATAACAGCCAATGTGTGCATCTGTGTGTGTATGTTTGTGCATTACATGTCTGCGTTTTGGAAAGTATCATCTTTTTTTAGCAACGGTTTGTCTCAGAAGGAATTTTCACAGGCAATTATTCTTTAGAAAAGTAATTTTAGTTGTCCTGATAAATATACATAAAATTATTTTGAAATGATGTCTTCAATTGTATTTTGGGACAAATTGGGTATTCGCATATAATTAATTAACTATAAAAGTTTTTTGGATGTGCAATAACAGCTACTATTAGCACGGCTCCTTGAAATTCTCACCAATGAAAAGGAATCAAATATTTTAAAATATGAATTCATTTCTAGAGAGTACATTTTTAATATGAGAAAGTGATTACTTCCTTCTAAAGTGCTGGGTGCAACATCTGTCCAAAGTTTTTTCCTTTGCCCTGGTAAGACAGCCAGAGATTTTGTGAGAACCTTTGCATATGGGTTTCAGACTTAAAACTTAGAAGTATAGTGTCTCTTCTGTATCAGAATCATGACAAAGATGACTAGATCTAGGAAATGCATTTCCAAATATTTTCGTATTTTATACTGTCATTTGAATATTTTATCACTTATGTTGCATTTCTTCATTCATTCATTTATTCAACAAATATTGATAGAGTGCCTACGATGTGCCAGGGTCTGTGCTAGGAACTGGGAATATAATGGTGAGTAAAATAAATAAAAATCTCATTTCTCATGGGGAGCATTCTAGTGGGGAGGGGCAAGAAACATAGACAGAATAACAAGACCAAGATAGCACATGATAGATGGTGGTAAATGCTATGAAGAAAAATAAAGTTGGGAAAGGGAATAAGGGTTCTGTAGGACTAGGAGGGTAAAGGGAGAGGGTTGCAATTTTAAACATAGTCGGGTGAGAAAGTAATACTTAAATAAAGTCCTAAAAACGGTGAAGGAGTGAACAAAATGGATGTCTGGTTTCTGGGCAGAGCAGACAGCGCAAAGGCTCTTCAGTGAGAGTGTGCCTGATTCATTCTA